TTGGTCATAAACCAGAGTGGCCTGATGGTGGCGTTAGATGAAAAGTCACCAAAGTTATTATAAATCCATCCTGAGGGAAATTCTAATGCCTGAACCAAAAAGATTTAATGACAACCGTTTCACTCAAAACCACAAATATCACACTCTAAGGACACTGCTGGCATGGCTAAAAATGTCTGGGCAGTTTCAGGGGTCACGACATTGCAGCGCCCTTAAAGCTGGTTTTCAGAGCTCACCGGTGGAGTTGAGGGTGTTTGCCGTCTGCCAGCCAAACAGCCTGGAGGGGTCCAGAGGATGGAGTGACTGGAAACACAACAACTCAATAATGTGCTTTCAACTTTACAGAAACAAGCAGTGAGTTCGTTTCACCAGAAGACTGTTCTACTTAACAAAAACCGAGTGTTTGTTAACAGAGAGGGAGCAGCAGGATGAACAGGATTAATGGGCTCCTGTAGCTTTAACACTTTTTAACAGAGGCTGACAGGTGCGAGTGTACCTGCAGGAGGTGGTAGACCGAGATGTCAGAAGACGAGTTGTTTCCTCGGGGCCCAGCGGGGAACAGGGCGGCCCTCAGTTTAGGGTGTGGTGCCAGCGCCATCTTCAGGAGCTGGGGGTCGACAGTCCTCTCTGACCTGCCTGACCTTTCACCCTGGACCACCACCTGCACACAGGAAGCACATATAGGACTGTTCCAGACCCAACCAGGTGGATCAGCTTTCACATCACATCCCAGAAGACACCGATGTTAAGAGGGATTAAATCTGCTTGAGATTACAGTGTCTGTAAAAGTGGGAGAGTCTTCATGGTGAAGCTGATCGTGCATCCAGCACTTATTTTGCAAAAACTCAGTAGGTAACAATTACAGTAAAGTTCTTGCACAATAGAAAGTCTGACACTGTGTAGGATTCAAAACTGTGGCAAAACCAAAGGGGTTGGGTCGGGATCTAGTGACTTAGGCACATATGATCGACAACATTTTCATACCCGAACCACTCAGAAGCCATTTAATTACTCAGGTTTCTGCTGTGAGTCTTCTTCACCCATCTGCACTTCACTGTAAATGTACACCAATCAGCCATAACATTACGACCAGCTGCTGGTCATAATGAAGATCTTCCCTTTGCCGCCAAAAAAGCCCCGACTCTGTCTGATTTATCTCACCCACTGACAGGTGACATGGTAACAAGATAATCCGTGTTAATCACGTCACCCGTCAGTGGCCATGACAGCTGATCGGTGAACGTGAACAGCACATTACTGGGAGCACATTTCAATTCCTGCCCACTGAAGCAGGACAGAGCGTCAGTCAGGAGGCAGAGTTTGTGGTCTCTGCAAGAACAGCTTCTTCCTTCATTTTTGTCTCAAGCTGACTCTTACTGAGATGCCGTCTTAGCTAAGAAAATACTGAAACTGAATGGTGGAACAATCCCTGCACTTGGTTTTGCCTGTTGTATTATTATTGTATTACATTGTTATGGCTTTCATTCAGTCTACAACATTCAGGCGGCGTGAGCTCAGCCCGGGGGGACTTGGCTTGGGAGCCAGAGGGTTGCCGATTCCAGCGTGGACCACTGCCGAAGGTGGCCCTGAGCAAGGCCCTGAACCCCTAACTACAACGGCCCACTGCTCCTAATAGGGTTAAATTAAATGCAAAGGACAAATTTCACATGCTGTGTATAATTACATTTGGACTGAATAAAAATGAACTGAAATGAGTTGTGTTTAAGGCTCTGTATCCCAACAGTCACCGATTTAAAAGCTATTTTTGCAGAGGTAGAAACACGCATGGATATCTGACATGAATGTTTGCTGTGCTTGTTGAGTCACAGCTCCTGGTTCCCAGGTGGGATTAGATTGAATGTTTACCTGGTCGATTCCTCCGGGGGCGAACATGATGGCGGCCAGGGCCAGCAGACTGTGTCCCTCTAACAGCAGACTGCTGAGAGACGCCTGGCTGCCGGGTAACAGCACCTGAGCACTGGTCAAACTGGCCTGGAAGACCAGTGCTGGATCTGGAACAGGCAGACAGACAATATATAATGATATAATGTTTAAATGGCTGGGCTTCTTATAAGCCTGCGACAGCCACAGATACCAGATTTATTTCTCCCCCCCCCAGAGCATTTGATTTATTGATTGCTTCCAAAATAACACAAGAAAATCTTACATTTTATATTTGTCTTTGATATGATCCATAAAATAAAAAATGAAGAGGAAGGAAGCTGCAATTAATCTGTCAATACTTTTTTCAAATTCTAATTTCTTTAAATTGTTGCTTACTTGCTTAAACATCATTATCAAATGTTGGAAATGAATGAAAACTGTCCAGGGTGACGTATTTAAATGTTTTGTTTTGGCCAAAACAGTCCAAAGATATTCAGTTTAGAAGGTTACAAGAGAGTAAAGCGGCAAATCCTCATATTTGAAAAGCTAGAACCAGAGAATTTTTGGCATTTGTGCTTCATAAATTATTAAATTTGTTTAATAAATGTTGTTCATTATAAGGAAACACCATATCCATCATCGTAGCAGCCCGGTACCTGACAGATCTCTGGTGATCTCCTGGATCTTCACCAGCATCTCAAACCAGGGCTGGCTCTCAGACAGGCTCTGATTGGTCAACAGGGGACAGTTTCTTGGAGTCAACCTGTGGAGGAGGGACACAGAGTTTATTGGCAGCTATTCTCCCAGTAAGCTGTAAAACTGAAATCCAATAAAAAGCACATGCCGTCTTGTCAACACACACCTGTAGTGCTCCAGGTAGGAGTAGAGCAGGTACTGGAGGCTGTGGTCCAGGCAGAAGGTGATGAAGAGGCTGTGGAGGTCCAGGCCCAGAGGGGAGCGGTACTGAGGGACAGGAGGCGATGAAGCCATCACCCCTCCACCCTGAGCCAGCCTCCACAGCAGCTGCTCCAGGTCTGCCAGCTCCTCCGGGATGAACAGGCCTCTCCTGCAGGAAAAGACACAGACATGAAGCCAGCAAGAAGTGTGCACGCCAGGAAACGGATAAGTCAAAGAAGTCAACTTCAAAACCCTGCATGAGGATTCAAACTGATCTGTGATGCTTTATATTTAGGGCCCGAGCATGAAACACACGAGGTCCCTGTTGGAACTGAAGGATTTATTCTCCCTTCCTTCTGCAAAGTTACCTAAATTTTAGGGGCCTAAATATGCTCGAAAACTCGCCAAACTTTGCACACACGGCGGGGGGGGGTGAAAAATTTCCTATTTTATGGTTCTTGCGTATTTGTGTGTCAAAATGGCTCGCTAGCGCCCCCTACAGAGCAGCCCCCAGCCAAAGTTTCACCTACGTGTACGAAATTTCTGTTGTACGTGTATCATGTCCAGATGTACAAAAAAGCCTCTTGGAGTCCGATCGACTTCAGATGTTCGCCGTCTAATCTAAAGTTGTACTTTTAATCAGGAAGTTGTTGTAACTTCAAATCTGCACCAAACTTTACATGCTTGATAACAGTCCCGCCCCCGAACACATCTACATGCCAATATTCATTTATACTCGTAGCGCCACCAACTGGCGACAGGAAGTAAGCTCTGTCTGACACCCATCGTGCGACGTAAATCAATTTTCACAACGTGTTCCACACTAGACGTGGTGAGACCTAACGTATAGATACCGGGTGTTCTGTCGCGCAACATGGGGGACACAGCAGGTGACGTTTAAGTCCTCGTGCAGTGTTTGAAGTGTGTGACAATTCAGAGCTTCAGGAACATACGGCGCGAGGGCCCGCCCAACGCTGCATGCAGCTTTAATTTGTTGTCATTTCTGTGTTGACAGGATTTGCTACCAACACAACCACAATAATTGTCTGGTGTGTATTTAGTGTATAACAAAATATTTGCTTCTTCTGCCCTTCTGGGGGCTTTTGTAGCAGAAAGAAGAAAGAGCAAATCTGTCCATTGCAGTGAATAAATATCTACATCTGAAGCTGTGTCAGTTCTGCTTAATCTGTGTTCAAACATCAAATAGCACAAATGAACTAGCATCATCTGAGAGTAAAAATTGAATTACAAGCAGTTGATCCATGGAGAGTGATATGCACATTGCTAAATCTAAAACACTTCAAATAAAAATATGTGAACTGCAGCCTGATTTCAAAACTTCAAATGAACTCTAACTTCAACATTAAACAAATATGGATAATCTAAGACAACTTATATAACATCCTTTCTTTTAGCAGGGCATTCATACAGACCAGTGGCTGTGCACAGTTGAGACTGCATATTTTGTGTGTATCTGGAGTATTAAAAATTATATATGTGTATAATCTTCTAGGCACAGTTGCACATATTTTTTGAAGGAACTGGGCATCTTCTGAATTGTGAATAGACGTAAACATTATGTGTCTCTCATGTGCTGCAGTAGGTTTCTCAGGCTGACCACTGCGACTACAATCCTCAGCACTGCCTGTTTCTTTGTGCTTTTTGAAAGCATATCCCGCATGGCATATATTTAAAGCAATATCCCTTCAAAATACATGTGTACCTCGAAGAATTGATTCTCTGTTGAAGGCAAAGGCTGGTTAGATTTTTCATCTGTGCATTCACTTTGTATTTTGTTAAATGATAAATTCTTACTTCGCAGCATTATTCCTACACCTGCCTAAAACTTTTGCACAGTATTGTATCTAGGAGTGGGAATTACAGGGTAGCTCACAATATAATACACGGCTCACGATAACGATAATATCACGATACAGCAATTCTGCGATAATCGATGTGTCGCTCGACAATCCTAAAGTGATACATCCCGATATCTAACTATTAATACAAAACGCCTGTGAAAAAAAATAACTATTTATTTGCTGCAAATCCAAACTGTTAGAAAAGAACACAATTCTGCTCAGTCTGTAAAATAAAACTACAGAGCAATGATGGGCTGGAGTATCGATACAGTAGCCATGGAAAAATGTACAACGACTAAGGATTATGCACAACATAAACGGCACAACGTGACATTACTCAAGAAGATTACTATGTTGTTAATGTAGAGATGATGCTCTGTCATCCTGATATATTACCCAACCAAATGGATAAAAGCAAAATAAGTGGATAGAATATTGTAAAATTATGTGGCATGTGTGTCGGTAACTATCAGAGAGGTGAAAATGGCTGCTGTACCTGGCCAGCAGGTCCAGTATGTTCTCCCTCATGGAGGTGCTGCACACTGTGTTGTGTTCACCAGCTCTGGGGTTAACTCAGGCCACTGGGAGGCATCAGAGGTCTCCCTGTTCCGGATCCAGTCGACCACCCGGCGCTGGTCATGCAGGGCAGTCAGGTAACGCCACAACACCGCAGAGTCACAGGAACTCAACTCTAACAAAAACAAAAACGCAGAGGAGGGAATGGAATCTTCCAAACAAGCAGAATTAAAGGAGACGGTCAGGAACCAGTGTGTGGGTCTACCTGTGTGCTGGAGTCTGGACAGGAGGACGGCAGACTGGCAGCTCTGGTCCCAGTTCCTCACCCAGTCCAGTCGGAGGTTCCTCCAGAGCCCCCCCCCATCCTCCTCAGACCTCTTCTGTCCCACCAGCTCCTCCAGAACCCCCCCACCACCACCAGTCTCCCTGCGGACCATCTGGACGACCCTGTCAAGGGGGAGCAAGGAGAGGTGAGCGGGTAAGAACAGAAAAAGAGGAGAAATCTGGAATTCACTCAAAGGAGGGCGCTCAGAAGAGAGGAAGGAGGTGGAAAAGAGATGAAAAGGATTCAGAGGGGTCGAAGAGGAGTAAGACTGTGGAGAGAGGGGTGGTTTTCTAAGGAGGTGCAAAGAAGATTGAGATGAGGAACACAAAAGATTCAGAGAAGATGGTTTGACAGGACAATGTCTTGACACTGTTCTTGCGCGCCTTTTGTTGTTGATCTTACCAGATCTGCAATTTTATTGTATCCTAAAAGACCCAATATAATCCAACCAGCAAGTCTCAGACTCAAAACTCTTCACTCAACAGTTTGATTTTCTTTGTCCAGTAAGCTGCATTTTAGTTTGGTACCAGTTAGCTGCTACTACAAACAAGCTATACAGTTACTATCCTCAAGCTTTTCGTTTTTCACACTGCTTACGGTCTGTATTTATTCAGCAATAGTCACGCAATGTATGTTGAGCTAGTTTCCTGACATAAATGTTGAAAATATAAATACAGATATACACAGAATTTATTTAACTCTGAGACAAACATGCAGTATCTTTACCCCTGTGATGTGGTGTTTGAAGGGCAGCGGGATGCAGGCAGGGATCCCAACCTCTCCATCTCCTTTATGAACACCACGCTCTGCATCTCCTCCGCTGGAAAACAACTCCGCCTCAACAGCTCCTCCACCTGTAAAGATGCACATAGAGAAGACATCAAAAACATACGGCTGCTGACGGTGAGCCCAAAGTCAAGACCAGAGGTTATCGAGATGAAGACAAGACCAAGACTTTTAGGGGCTGAGACCAAGTCGAGACCAAGACCAGTTCACCACGAGAACGAGACCAGAGGTGCTTCTCAGAATGATCTGAAAGATCCACATTCCTATTAAAACACCCACATACAAATACTTGGAGCTGAAATCAATGTAAGCATCACCGTTGCTGGGAAGGTCGTTAACGGTAACAACACATTTGGATGTTAACAAATAAATCAGACAATACAAAAGCGATTTATTGATATTCCCAAAGTTACGGTCTTGACTGGTTTTGAAATAAAATCCAGAGTCCTCAATGTCCGAGACCGAGACAAGACCATCAAAAAGAATTCCGCAACACTAGCTGTCAGGTAGAAAGGAGACTGTCGTTGTATTTAGTGTTCACACCAGACTCACCACAAACTCCCTGAGCTCTTTGTCGTTGGTGTAGAGGCAGATACTGTGCAGCTGCTTCTTCACACTGAAACCCTGAAAACACAAAATAACGGCACTAAACTGTCAATTTGACTTTAAAAAAGAAATTCAGCTTTGTGTTTTTAGCTGACAGCTAACGTTAGCGTCACATCCTGCCTACTGTTTGCTGAAGGGACTTTTGGGAAAATACTTATTTCCCTTATTTTCTAAAAGTGTGTTGAGGAGATCAATACAAGTCTCAGATCTGTGAGTTAAAGGCAGAGCTGGATGTTAAAGTAGTTACTGGACTTTACTCCCCCAAAGAATGTCTGTTTATAATAGATCAACAAATGAGATACGTGTTAATCACTGAGCTTTGTTGTTATGTGTATTTTTGAACTTGGAAAAAGCCAGGCTAGCAGTTTCCCCCTGCTTCCAGTCTTTATGCTAAGCTAGGCTAACCACGTCCTGACTCCAGGTCTGGACACAGACATAACATCTCACGCTCATGTTAACTGTTACTGGTTTTTAAGATACTGACATTTGGCATGTGACTTTGAAAGTGTTAGCATACCAACGTTAGCATGTTAACATGTAACATAAAGCAAATATAAATTAACGAGCGAGGTCTTCTCACCATGTTAATGAGGAGCGTGTTGGCGGTCTGCAGGTCTCGCCGCTGCAGGCAGGAGAAAACCTGACGCAGACCCTCCATCCTCAAGGAGGCCAGACGCTGTTCCGGCCGGCTCCGCCTCCTCAGGACAGCCTGAGCTCTGGGGATCTGATTGGTCAGGACGGACTGACGGACCACTTCCTGCAACACACGCACATACAGAGTAAAACAAGAAGGGGCACTCACACACAGATGAAAACTCTTTTCGCTACCTAACTGTGCAACCAAACTTTGTAAAGAAATGTCACCTCTGTCGGCAGCTGCTCCCACTCGTCTCTCTGAGCCGCCTCCTCAGCAGAATCAGCAGAATTGGTGCTGGAGGTGTCGCCCCCTGCAGGCCAGGGGTATCTCTTCATGTAGCTCCTCAGTTCGGTGACGTACCGATCAAGAACATCCACGCAGATCCGCACTCCTGAGTCCTCGTCTGCAGACACAACAGACCAGTTTTAACTCTACTAACAGGTGGTTTAAACAGGGTTTCTGCAGGTTTCACCTGGTCAAATTTAAGACTGTTTAAGACCTTTTTAAGACCACTATGAATGAAATTTAAGATCTAAATCGCGACATCAAAAAAAGAAAAGTACATAGGAAATGCAGTCACAAAACTACCTGCAGAGTAAATAAATGTATTCAATAATATTTAGGTTTGTGTGATGTCTACAAAATTGGCATTGGACGATGTCAACAATGAAACATCAGGATGGATGATGACATTGATAAGCTACGTAATTAACATGCTGACATGCTGCATCCCAAAAGCTAAACTTGCTAAATAAGTCTACTGGGTTTGAATTCTAACCATCAGAGCTGGGAAAAGTAATTTAGTTAGTTTTGATGCTCAGCACCAAGCTGTTTTGAGCCTCACTACCTGATAATGGCAGGAAAACACTGTTAATATGACCTCAAGAATTATTACAGACAGGACTGTTCATGTTTGCCTTTTGTGTTTTAATTTACTGCTTTATTCATTTGTAGAAATTAAGAAATAGGCAGCATGACAACCACCTCCCTTCTGTATTATTATAAGCATTTCATTTGAAAATCAAAATCCAAAGGAACAATCTCCTAAAAGGACTGGTTTGCATCCCTGATTTGCTTTAACGTTACCAACCTCAGCTCCTCCGAGGTCACCACTTTCCTTTCTTTATAATTTAATTTAACTTTCAAGATGTGCAGTACAGGACAGAGCTGTAACCTGACAACTTCATGCTGATCTTATCCTCCAGCCGTGCATTGAGTGTTACCGTAGCTTACTGAAAATCATTAATGATCGTGTGACATTTCAGTAGCGACATTAAGCAGGCTTCAAATACGTTGCTAGCGACTGCTTTTAGCCAAGCCCTAAGCTCTGTTTCTTTCAGTCAAGAGTCGCTAAGGTTGCACTTTCGCACAGCTGAAGAATATATCTGTTTTCTACCTGTGGTACAGTCCAAAAGAGACTGGCTGCAATAACACGACAGATGCATGTTGGTCTTTGTAGTCGTATAGCGAATTATATTTGGACTAGCGAAAGAAAGAACTACAACCAGCCTGCGATCGATAGATCTATAGATCGATAGAGAGAGACATAGAGAGATAGTGAGAGAGATAGATAGATAGACATAGATAGAGAGACAGAGAGAGATAGATAGACATAGATAGAGAGATAGAGACATAGAGACATAGAGAGATAGAGACATAGAGACATAGATAGAGAGATAGAGGGATAGAGAGACAGAGTGACAGAGATAGAGAGAGACATAGATAGAGAGATAGAGACAGAGAGAGACAGAGAGATAGATAGAGATAGAGAGAGACAGAGAGATAGAGAGAGACATAGATAGAGAGATAGAGACATAGATAGAGACAGAGATACAGAGATAGAGACATAGAGAGATAGAGAGATAGATAGAGACATAGATACAGAGATAGAGAGATAGATAGAGACATAGATACAGAGATAGAGAGATAGATAGAGACATAGATACAGAGATAGAGACATAGATAGAGAGATACAGAGATAGATAGAGACATAAGGAGATAGATTGAGAGATAGAGACATAGAGACATAGATAAATAGACAGATAGAGAGATAGATAGAGATAGAGACATAGACAGATAGAGAGATAGAGACATAGATAGATAGAGAGATAGAGACAGATAGATAGATAGAGATAGAGACATAGATAGACATAGATAGAGACATAGAGAGATAGAGACATAGAGACAGAGAGATAGATAGAGACATAGATAGAGAGATAGAGACATAGAGAAATAGATAGAGAGATAGAGACATAGATAGAGACATAGCTAGATAAGATAGATGGAGAGATAGATAAGAGAGAGATAGAGACATAGATAGAGAGATAGATAGAGACATAGATTGAGATAGACATAGATAGAGACAGAGAGATAGATAGAGATAGAGACATAGATAGACATAGATAGAGAGATAGAGACAGAGAGATAGATAGAGACATAGATTGAGATAGACATAGATAGAGACAGAGAGATAGATAGAGATAGAGACATAGATAGACATAGATAGAGAGATAGAGACAGAGAGATAGATAGAGACATAGATAGAGATAGACATAGATAGAGACATAGAGAGATAGATAGAGATAGAGACATAGATAGAGACATAGATAGAGAGATAGAGACATAGAGAGATAGATAGAGAGATAGAGACATAGAGAAATAGATAGATAGAGAGATAGAGACATAGATAGAGACATAGCTAGATAAGATAGATGGAGTGATAGATAGAGAGAGAGAGAGAGACATAGATAGAGACATAGAGAGATAGATAGAGACATAGATAGAGAGATAAGTGGAACTTTTTATCGTCTGCCTGATGGCAGTAACTGGAAGGAGTGATGGAGAGGGTGAGAGGGGTCACAGTTGTGCAGTTCAAATAAGGGGTTTTGTGGTGAGCCGATTATCTTGCTGCAGTGGTTTATTATGCGTGAGAGTTTGGTTTCATGTTTGACAGTGAGGACGTTGTACCAGGATGAGATGTTGAAGGTGAGAATGGATTCAATGAGTAACGAGTAAACCAGAGTTAAAATATCCTTGCTGACATGAAAAGTCCTTAATTTCCTCAGCAGGTGGAGGCGCTGTTGTGCTTTTTTGAACACGGAGTCAGCGTGTTTTGAAGCATTTCAATGTGGAGTAGCGTTACATCGATGATTAAGACCTGTTTAAAAATATTTAAGACCTACAACAGAAACTCGCAAATTTAAGGCCTTAAATTTTGCTTTTTAAATTTAAGACCTTTTAAGACTTTTTAAGACCCTGCGAAAACCCTGTTTAAAACTAAACATCTACAGCCGTGGACAGAAAAGTGTGTGTGTTGTCTCATGATGTGTGTTGGACAGGACAGAGGTGTGTGTGTGTGTGTTGCCTTACACTGTGCGCTGGACAGGACTGAACGGATCTGTGTGTTGACAAAGCTCATGGTGATGTTGAGCAGCTGTTCAGAGAACTGTCGGCTCTGAGCTTCGCTGTTTGATTCTCTGACAGCCGAACACAGAAGGTCCAACGCAGGACACAACTCCTGGACACCTGCACACACAAACACAGGTCAGACACACAGCTTTATGCACAACAGCATGTATGAAACGTCGATGATTAAAGCAACTTTTCGTTACAAAGAATTTGGATTCAGGCATTTAAAGTGAAAGATTAGAAAAGTCGAGGCAGTAAATCGTCTCTTTATAAACAGTTTATGAAGTGTGTATCCGTACTGTCTGTCAGGCTCAGTGTGGATGCTGCAGGCTGATCGGCAGCAGGGTTCAGGATGTTCTCTTTACTCTTCAGGTAGAAATCCACCGTGTCCAGCTGACGATTCTTCAGTCCAGCCTGCAGAACAAAAAAACAGCTTTAAAAGAAACAGCAGAGAGACGGCTTTTATCTACAGGTCATCCAGATGTCATCAAGGTCTGACCCCGAATAGCCGAAGATTCGATGCTTCGATGGGCGGAGCCTGATTCGACTGTCAATCTCACAGTCGAAGCTTCGCAGCGAAACAAGAATCACGCCATTTTGGCGATATGGGGGTGCTCAACGTCTGATTTTACACAGAACTACCAGTTTTCTCCCAATAAGTTAATATACAGCCTGTTACAACACACATTTAAACATTTAATGCTGTAAACAAACATGTAAAAAGAATAAAACTTTCTATAAATGTTTTTAAAGTGCATGAATAAACTGTAACCCGAACCCTGGGGCGTCATGCGCATGTGTGATGGCAGCAGAGGAACACTGAAGAGATGTTGTGCTGAGTTGTTCGCACCTCGCGGGACTTTCAGATCATTTATCACCATTGATGAACCACACAAAGATTATTATTATATTATTTTATCATTTTTAAAACAGCCGGCTACTTGAAATAGACCCGCGAGGAACCGCGGCGTGCACGCAAAACTTATGATTCAAATGATTCAGTCGACTACAGGCAGGACTTGACGATTCTAGGGGACAGCCCTAGTTCATTCTAACCATCTCCTCTGAGTCTGTGCCGTGTCAGTAAGGGTGCGTGTTGCCTCCTACCTGCAGGGCGTGGATGGGGATGGAGCAGCGCCCCCAGCTGTTCAGGTGACAGACTGCGTCGACTGTTGCTGCGCTCCCAAATAACATCAACCTGCTGAGCAAGTCCTGCTGGGACACTGAGAACAAGACCTGGAACAGCCCAGCCTCTGCAGACAGACAGACAGAGATTTTTGGTGCATTGGCTTAAAAATAGTCTCCTTTCAAAAACAGCTAAGAGATCTTTCCAAGAGGAACGCTCACAAACGCAGATAATTACAACCCAACACACGAACGTCTACACAAAATACAAAACGTTAAAAACAGTTATATTTACCTTTCGTGGATTGTTCTCTGATATGTATGTTCTGACGCTGCATGAAAACTTTGTGGCCTTGATGTGTTTGTTGTATAATAATGTGGAGGTTTGTAAGTAATATTTATGGTGATGACTTTTTCTATTTTTCTAGTTTAAATTATGTCATTTTTGTCTCTTATATATCTTGTGAGGTCACATGTTGTGTTTATTATGATACTACAGTCTGTGACATTTTACTCTCTTTACATTCACTATACAGAAATCTACATCTGTTGATAATGGAATCTCTCTGGGACGATATCTTACTGTTACAACAGAGAGTGTTGTATTTAAGCTTAAGCTCAATCTATAGTATTGGAAATGTGAATGAATGTTCTGTAACGTTGCCCAATTTCATTTGGACGTGGGTGATTTGTGCAGACAAACGAGTCACCTCCTACAAAAGATGGTTTCTCAGTATGTCATGGAGGAGCTGAGCCAGATGAAGATCTAGTTCCGAAACGTTGCCAGCTTGTAAATATATTTTTGCAAGTTTCTTTGCAGCAAATGTTCTTTTTACAGAATAAAATACTTTGTGGGGCAGCTACAACAGCTCAGATGTCAAAGCTGGAGTCTCTGTAGATGCCGCCGAGGTTTTAGATGCGTCAGTGGCTGACTTACTCTTCAGCAGGAGTCTGTGCTGTCTCTCTCCACAGCGCTGAACTGGAGCCGCCACGCCCTCCGCACGGTGGTAATTAACCTTCCCTGACTCTAAATCCCATAAGGCCACTGCGGTCTGTCTGTTGCCAGGGGAGACAAAGGTAAGCTGGGCGGAGAACTCGGACACGGTGAGTAGAGACGGAGTGGACGACTCGGGGATGGAGAAAGCAACGGTCGCTCCCCCGCAAGGCACTCTGCTGTGGGCTGAGGGCGAAGCCTGCTGCGACTTCAGGTGGCGGAGGGAGGAAGACCAGGAGGTCCCGGCAGGCTGGGGGGAGGAGGAGGAGGAGGAGGAGGTGGGAGCTGCATCCTGCAGAGCTCTGCTGTACATGGAGGCCAGACGAGCTTTCCAGGAGCTAGAAAGGAGTCAAAGTTAGAGGTCTAGACTAATAAAAATTAAGAACAGATAAACTTACCCAAACGTTTTGTTGACCATTCAACCCTTTAATTGTGTTAGTGTGAAATATTTAAATAATTTCGGGCTGCAAATAGTTTCTTATCTGCTTGATTAATCGTTTAGTCTTTAAAATGCCAAATTAAATGATGACAAAAGCTCCTGATAATTTCCAGTGACATCTTCACAGTGTCACAGTCTAAACGGTCTAAAACCCAAAATATATCCCACTTACTGTCAGACAAGACAAAGAAAAGCATCAAATCCTCACATGTAAACAGCTGGAACTAGTCAATGTCTGGTTTTTGCTTGAAAAATGATTGAAACTATTAATTATTTATTAAAATAGGTAATGGTAAAACTACTGTACTACAACAGACTGTTAATCACATCAATTAGTAAATGTTCATATGATAAACTCAGTTGTCGTAACATAATACCTGCTAAATATTATCATAGTTTTACTATCATTATAAATTGAAAGAACTTGTCTCTACTGGCCATTTGAAATCATTGATTAAGGAATTGGAGGCTGATTCCATTACTTTTCATTGTTTTGACATTCTGATTGTAAATTTGCTGCGTCAGTTATTGTTAACTGCGTTGTTTTTGTTTTCTATTTTTGACAGCTGTGTTGTTGTTTTTATATAACGACTTGCTACTGCTTAGGATGCTTTTTAATCTCAATGAGCATTGCCTGGTTAAATAAAAGTTTAAAATAAATAAATGAATACTATTGTGAGCATGTTAGCTCAGAGCATCACCGTGCCTAGCAGCCTCACAGAGCAGCTAGCACGGCTGTAGACTTCATAATAAAACTTTTAGAGCATTAATGCAGCTGACACTTTGGATAAAAGCGTCAGATAAATGAATAAATGTAAATGTATATGGAAATCACACACCGAGCCGTTTAAAGTTTAAAATTGAGCGTTCAGAACAGGGGGGATATCTGAGATTTTGTCTCACAGGGACCTCTTTTAAATACTTTTACCTCATTATTTGAAGCTTTGGTCATGTTTAACAGGAACATCGGACATGGTCACATTATAGAAATGCCAAGAAATGTGAAAAAGCATAATAATAGGTTTGGCCTGAAGACCTCAGAGAGCGACCAGAAGTGTGTGCGTGCAATAGATCCTGCATGTAAGAGGGAGCTTGACCATGCAAGACACTGTAAGTAATGATTAAAATTTTAAAATGCACTCTAAAGCCAATCAAAAGCCAATGAAGGGCATCAAGCACAGCAGTAATGTGCGATCACCTGCTGGTCTTAGACAAAAGTCTTAAAGCTGCATTCTGTACAACTTGCAGTCGGTCCACAGGGGATACGTTTAAACAAGTACGTTGCAATAATCCAATCATTATGAAATAAAAGCATGAACAAGCATCTCCATCTCTTCGTTAGAAACCACACCAATCTAAGAATGTTCCTGAGATGGAAAAAACAGGAAGGAACCACAGATTCAACATGACTGTTAAAACACACACCCAGATTTCTCATAACAGTGTAGTCAGAGCACGATAGAGCACCAAAGGCCTGCCAAAAATCAGCACCTCAGTTTTATCTGAAGTTGCAAAAAAAATGTCTGCCATTCATTTGTTAATGGAGGCAAAGCAATTGTGCAACAAGGACAGTTTGTCTTGGCTAAAAGATATATATATATATATATATTATATATATATATATATATATATATATAAAATTGGATGTCATCAGCATAACAATGATGAAGATATTTCTTTAAAACTACCAATAAGCTTTCCAAGAGGAAGTCTTTAATTAGTAGTTCATGACGTATTTCAGACTGTGTAATCGGAACAATATTAAGAGTTACTATGGCTGCCAGTTCAAGCAGCCATTGTAATGTAGGTATTGTAATTGTATGCCTGTTATCACCTCGGTATGGCCGATGGAACTTCAAGAACCACGATGGAATGAAGTCCGGGACATATTCGTGTTTTCCATGACAATTTCTTCACACGCAAATATCTGATGATCCACGTGTCTGTATCCTGTCAAATAAACTAAAGTAAAAGGCGTTTACCGGTCAGCGCTGAAGGCTGATCCCAGGGCGGCAAGGCTGCAGCTGGAGCTCGACAGGCTGTCCTGGTCTCTTGGGTGATGGGGCTGGAGCGGGGGGCGAGAGGGGGGAGCAGCACACAGTAGGTGGTCTGGATACATCCTGGAAGACAGAAATAACAATCTGAAGTTTGTTTTGTTTTACCTCTGAATGCACCAAAGCTTGGTTAACTTGCAGATGGGTGGGCTGATCCGATGAGCTTCTTGTAGTGAATCATTTTAATATTCAGGAACATTCACATCAGAACATTTGGCAAAAAAAAAAATACAGGCAGTGGGCCATGTCTCTGTAGCGCAGTCAGGATCTGTTCAGTGGGCAGACAAATCAACATTGTTCCCGTGTGCAATGTTTCCTCTATAATGTGCTGCTTATAACCTCATTTGTGCGGCATTTATGTGTTTTATTGTTGCTTCGGGGATTTTGATTAACATGAAATGACGTGTTTGATAAAAACAAGAACTAAAAATGGGAAAAGTGTCCAAAAACTGTAGAGCTTTCGGCTCGTTTCCCTGCTGCTGTACCTGAAGTAGCGGTTGAGGTCGACGGCGACGGCAGCGTGAGACTGAGTGACGGCTACGACCGTATTGAGATCAGCTGACACCTGGAGGAGGCAGAAGGAGGAAGAGGAGGATAAGGAGGAAGGAGGGGAGATGAGGTCATCCTCTGCCAGGTCAGAGCTCAGGTAAGCTGGGAGGTCAACGCAGGCCAGCAGACTGCCATCGGAGATATTATAAACAGCTGGAGGTCACGTTAAAGAAGAGGCTGCTGGGAGGAGTTTACAGAGTGATAATCTTAACTCATTAGCTCAGCTGTCATCCAGCCACTGAGGAAGACCATGAGATGTAGATAAAAGCTCAGGAAAAGACCAGAGATTAGTGTTGTGAGATTAAATTACATCAATTTAGTTGTGTGTGTACTTTGATGTTAGTGTATCTCCGGTTTGTTAGCTTATACTTAGTTTTGTTTATTTTAGTTTCATCGAGGCTATCTTCGTTTCATAGCTTAGCTTCAGAGTTTTCACCATAGCTTTGTTTTGTTTAGCTTATTGGAGGTTAAAGCGGCAATATGTAAGAACTGGCCACCTGTCAAATTCATTCTCCAAATAAACAGGAGCTAACTGCTGCTAACTGCAGCTAGCTGCCAGCTAGTTAGCTTAATTCGACATGCAGCTAGCGGACTGGACCAGGACACTGAGGCCCCAGCCACACTACTCCGTTTTAGTTTAAAAACGAATACGATCTCCGTCCACACCAGCATTTTAGCTGTGTATCAGAGTTGATCTGCGTCTGTGTTAAAACAACCCATCTTGTCACCGTTCACGTACACTGAGCATGCGCGTGTAAACATGAAGCAGACGGTCGGTTCCTATTAAAGGATCTGTTAAAGTAATGCAGACAAAGAACCACACCAGATTTGATTTTGCACGGACCAATAACGAGCTGGGAGAGTCACTGGGGAGTCGTCGCAAAGTAAATGCGGCGACAGAGAGAGTACAAGTGAAGGCCACGTTATCAGGTGTTATGTATTTTATTTGTTATTTATTACTTAAAGACTTTCCCTCATGGATCAATAAAGTATTTCTGATTGCCCGGTACAAAATATTTTCATATTTCCAAGTCAAACAGCAGCATCGTGATTCTGCTTTGCGTGACTTATAAAATCCAATCAGGAAGCCAAACGTGAGCGTCTGCGTCTTCGTTTCTAAAGTCCTCCGTTTTTGCCCGTCCGCACTGAAACACTCTCCGGAGTTTTAAAACAAAAAACAGCGTCGGCAGTGTTGTCAAACTTCTGTTTTAGGTGTTGGACGGGAGGTGCGAACGTAGAAAAAGGTCTCCGTTTTAAAAGCAGAACGCAGTAGTGTGGATGGGGCTTGACTCTGGGGACGACGAAGACGGGGCGGGTTTAGGACGTGGGTCAGCCAGGAGCCAAAGTCAGCAAGAAAACCACTTCTGTGTTGGACGCTCCTGTGACCGACTATAGAGAGCCTAAGTCCCTCCCCTTCATGTGGACCACCATGGGACCTTATTTCAGAAAAATATTGTACGGTAGTCAACGGCGAGGGACAACAAATATTTGATCCCGTTTGAATTGTGCCCTGAATTACACATATGATGTTTGTCAATTTAAAAAATACATTTTAAAGTCGCAGTTTGATGTAAAACTGTTCAGGTATAAGACTTTGAAAATACATAATTACGTCGTAACTTTCTCTGTCAATGACTGAAGCTAACGTCAAAAAACTTAAATGACTTCTCCAAGGCTAGCTTACTTTGATTTAGTTCAGATAGTTTAATTCTTCATTTGGTTTAGTTCAGTTTCATTCAGTTTAGATTAGTTTCTCTTATTCTAGTCAGCTTAGTTGTGTTTAGCCTAGTTAGCTTATTTATTATGGTTGATAATTTAGGTTATACTTGTCTGCATTGTATTATTGTATTTTTTGTATACTTGTACATTTTCTGATCTCCTTACTTTTATATTTATGAAAAAGACAATTTATACCAAGACAAATTCCTCGATGTGAAAATGTACCTGGAAGTTCCGATTCTGATTCTTAGCTAGATGATCAGTTATAATTAATATTACTAATGTTGGTCTAATTAGTAGCAGCAGATTTAACAGTAGGTGTATTTGTATGAGTATGAGGATACATATGAGTCCAGTGGAGCTGAGGATGAACAGGGTTTCCCTGCAGACACAGTGGTGGACAGCAGTGTGTCTGTCGCTTTCAGTCCGCCGGATGCTGCAGCAGGATGTCGTCTGCGGCTCCTCCTCCGTCTGCTGCCATTGCAGCTGCAGCAGCCAATCACAGTTCAGCAGCATGCAGCAGCGGCCGGCAGCAAACGACAACACGCGCACCGACTGCAGCTCACACACACCTAAAGACAAAGGCTCAATCAGTAATATTATAACATTCATTAACAATATACACTACTGGTCACAAGTTTTAGAACTCCCCCATGTTTGTAGTTCTTATGTAAATCTAAGTAGTTTAAGTCCAGTGAAAAACCTTAAATGGTACCAAAGTAAGCAGCAAACTGACTGAAAGAGACAAATGAAGGAAGTTTTGTTCACTATTTCACACAAGGATCAACCGATGACCAACTTTATTCTTTATTAATTGCCTTTTTAGTCACAATATAGTGGAAATACAGTTTCTGAGGGTGTATTAAGAGGCTGTTCCAAGGTGTTTACTGTAGAAATGTGTTTCATTTACTCACAATTCAAATCAGCTTTATTGGAATGAATGTCTAACAACAGTATTGCCAAAGCTACATATAAATTACATAAGAACAACTGATTTCATACATTTCATTAAATAAGTAAATAAAATTGTAAAAGTTGTGTTAAATAAATTATAAAAAAAATATAAAATATAAAAATTCCGTAAAAATAAAAGTAAATAAATAAAACAGTAAGCGCGTGCGTTAAAAAAAAAATATATATATTAAAAATTTAAATAAATGAAAGAGTAACGTGTGTTATTATAATAATTAAAAGTAAAAAAAAATAAATGGAACAGTAAGCGTGTGTGTGTTATTATAATAATAAAATTAAAAATAAAATAAATAGATAAAACCATAAACGTGTGTGTTTATATGATAGACAAAAAAAATTATAATTTAAAAAAATAAAATAAAAACTGTGTCAAATGTGAAATTTAAACTTCCACTGCTGCAGAATAACTTGAAGTTGTTAACCTATTACTTGATCTCTGAAAGCTATACATCTCTGACAAATATTTCTCAGTTTTGCTGACCTAAACTTTGTCTTTAGCAGGGGAAGGAAATGAAGCCGTGAAAGTTGCTACAGCAAACACCCTCAGACTGAGCAGCCGGTCATCGGTTGATGCTACAGTAAGATAATTTAATTGGCCATTTTATCTCTGAAAATGTCAGTTCTGGTGACGTAAACATTGCTGATCATTTTTACACCATTTAAGGTTCTTCCCTGGACTTGATCTACTTATATTTAAATAAAAACTAGAAACTTGAGGGTGTTCTAAAACACACCGGCAGTGTCTTCAGTTCTGTCAGGTTGATACTGCAGTGTCAGTGGACCCCGTCCGAGGGTCGACGGTGCGCCTGGTACTCACCGGGGTCCTGCTCTCTGACGGTCTGCAGCAGGCGATCTGCAGGACATTCAGACACACAGAGCAGAGAGACGGACGCTGATCGTTCCGCTTCCACCTCCAGCAGCTTCAGGTCGCACTGAGATCCAACAGCCAGCAGTCTGAAGCTGCTGACGCCCCGACTGTGGACGGACGCCTCCTCCCAGAAAAAGCTAGAAGCGGAAGAACATTTGAAGAGTTTGATTTGTTTCTCTGACTGCGGACACAAAGCTGAGCACATTAAGATATTTTGCCATTAGCTAGGGAATTACTAGCATCGATCCTGAGACCACAGAACTACCGTAAAGCTTCATTTCGAAGGTTTTCTGGATGTACAACAATATGAATGTTCATTTTTAAGCCAGTATGGACATGCTACACTTTGTACATCGGTTAGATTCTCCACAATTCAATCGTTCAGTTGATTTTATGAAAACAATGAGCACCAAAAGGTTCATTCAGATTTACCGGCATGTGTGTCCATTCCTTGATTATTTCTATTCCTTTAGTCCGTAAGCGTCCACCGATCAAAACAATAAAACAGTACTTCATAAAAATGTAATCCACGTTAGCTTCACCTTTATGAGCTACTACAACATTAAAGCGATTATTAACACATTAAAGCAAAAAATTATTATGTAGCAATATTTTATTCTCAAATGTCCCATTCTGCACAATGTGTACTTTCACTTTGGTACTTAAGTCCATTTTAATGGTAGAACTTTTGTACTTAAGTAACATTTTGAATGCAGGACTTTTCAGTGGTGGACCGTAAGTAAGTACTTTCCCTCAAGTCACGAACTGAAGTACAAATTCGAGGTTCTTGTATTTACTTGAGTGTTTTCTTTTCACCACATCTCAGAGGGAGATATTGTACTTTTACTACTTCACTACATTTATCTGAGAGCATCAGTTACTTTACAGAGTCAGATTTCTGGAGGTGTCCCTTTGGGCTCTGGGCAGCTGTGACGACATTTCTCACTATTGGAAAAAGTAATTAACTGCTGTCTGATACAAAATAGTTAAATCAGTTAAATCCTGCTTTTACATGAATGCACGAGGAATAATAATCATGACATACTACATAATAGTACAACAGTCACAGGGGACAGTTTTATTTCTATGTTGAGTACATTTACTTTTAATACTTTAAGTACACGCAGTCCTTTGTTTTGGTACATGACTAACAACACCATCTAATAAGCAATACATGAGATCCAATGATTTTATAAATTGCCAAGGGTCTCTTAAATGTTCATTTGTTTATTTGAAAAACACATTTTTGCTGAAATCATTAAAATTTTGCAGGAAACTGAGATTATTGTCTTTGCTGAGACAAACTAACAGCATCTAAAATACAATTCATTTAAAAGTGAACTGACTGTGTTGTATGGGTGTGTGTTTCTGCACAGTGTGTCGTGTAATTAAAACAGTTTAGGTTTTACGGATATGTACGGATACACCTATAACCTGTTTTGCTCCCTCAATTCTTTCTAATTTTTCAGTAAGCCTGTTGGTACACGTGTTGGCGAGCTAAAAAAGAACCTCAAATGACAATTTTTACTAAAACTATTTGACTTTGAAAGCGCCTGGCAAGACATCTTTCAGAAACATTTTAACTTGTTGTTACGGATAATTGCTTTATCGCCCTGATGAGTGAAATTTCCTCACTCGGTTTGGCCGTGATCCGTTTTCCATTGCAGACCCAGAGATGGCATCCCTCAATGTAGCTGGTCGTCATAGCGACGCCACACACAACTGCTGCGACGTAATGTTTAATGCGACACACACACACACACACACACACAGCTGTCTCTTGATTTTCCTCTGCAGTTGTTGCGTCAGCGGTCTGTGTGACGGTGGGACCAGGGCAGGCGGCTGGCCGGCCTCGCCAGCTCCTCCCACGGGTTGGCGCAGGCTTCCTCCGCCGCTCCTCAACTCTTTTCATAAAACTGGCAATATTCAACATCTACACAGCTGATTTCTCACCTCAAAGCTCCTCAGAAGTGGATTTAGTGATGAAATAACGTGTGAAAACTGTAAAATGTAAAACTTTCTGCTGCTGGCCTCTGTCAGGCGCACGCAATGATGACGCAGTGAATAGTGACCTGGAAGCAGGTACAACTTTTCCACAGTGGAAAACGAGTGGAACTGGTCCCGCAGAGGAAAAGGGCCTCATGTCCAGCTTATTTTCTACAGGATTTCTCTGATGTCCTTCATGTAGACTCTGCCCCGCCCACTATACAAGTCTCAGACCAATCAAAACTTTTTACATGTCAACTAGTGTCGTAGCAACAATTCAAGATCAGTATTTGTGATTGGCTGTAAAAGTGAAGCTCAAACATTATTTGGCCCATTAGTACTTTTAGTAAAGGACCTAAATACTTCTAGGACTTTTACAGTACTTGTGTCAGAGCAACTTATACTTAAGTAAAACACCTGATTACTTCTTCCACTGCTGCTCATGACAAATGCATTTTAATATTTAAAAGCTGATTTATTTCTGAGTTTTTCCATAAACGCAGATTCTTTGGGATGATAAGATGTCTGAAGTGACTTCGGGCTGCGGGACTCACTCCGTGTAGCAGCCGTCCGCTGCAGCCGGAGGGGCCTCTCTGTCCGCCGGGTCCCAGACCACTAGCCGCCCCCGGGCCCCCAGACACCCGAGCAGGGAGCCTCCAGGAGCCAGTTCAGCTTTCTGGACGTCTGCTACTTCTCCACAGTGCTGGTTCTCCGGGATCACACACACCTCCAGCGAGTCTCTGTCCGGCCGCTGATCCGCCTCCAACATCTTCACGCGTTGGACGAGCGACGTGTGAAAGAGGCTGCGGGTTCAGGTGTTTGAAAAGAAAAGCAATCTGACGGCGACAGACTGCGACTACGCCGACATTTCTTCTTGTCATGTAAACAGCAGCTGGGCCCGGAGTCACATGCCCTACTTCCCCTGTCAGCTGACCAAATCTGACCAATAGGCAAACGGCACAGAAGTCGACTTAATCGAAAGACGACCTTGGTGCACAAGTGATTTTAGCAACGAGAATTGTAGTTTCTGTGGTGGATACGATAGAGATTAGGAATTAAATGGGGAAATAAGATTTCCAGAATAAAGTGAAATGGTACTTCAGCTTTATTCTCCTCATGTTGTTTTTGTTCTTGTCATTTTGCTTCCCCCCAGCATTTCCCCTGTTGTGAAGAATTCTGGCAAAATGTATGTGGCTTTATTTCTGAAAATATTGATGAAAGTTTTGTTTTTTTTGGAAAAATGTATTGTTTGGTTTCCAGAAAATAACACACAGATAAACACTTATTTGTACTTGATTAATCTTCTTTTCATAATGGCCAAATTTGATATCCATCCTCAACTGCTGGCACCACACACGCCGCCAGCCATCGCAGGGCCACACACAGACAAACAACCACTCACATCCACAACTAAGGACAATCTGAGAGACACCAATTAACCCCGTCTGTGGACGAGGGGAGCACATGCAAGGCCGGGACAACCGGGGTTTGAACCCACGACCCTTGCTGCGAGGCGACAGTGCAAACCACTGCACCGGTCAAAATTTCATTTCACAGATTAGAAAACTTGCTTTTTTTGCCGTTAAAAAGTGTACAAACAATAAATTGTCTAAATTCAACCGTCCCTTGATTTGTACTCCTAATTTT